TTACATAAATCATAATAAATAAACGTTCATAATTTTTATAAACATTTTAATTAATTAATATTATTAAATTATATTGATTTTCGTCTCCATGCATTAATGCCCATCTTTTTCATCTCCTTTGTCATTTTTCAGCTTCTAATACCCCTTTGCTTCTTTCATTTCCCCACACAAAGAGTCAACGATGATAGTGGTCAAAGTCAAACACCTTCTTCTACTTTTCTTCATATCGCTTGCATTCCTCTTCACTGCTTCATCGGAGTCTAATCTCTCTAATCGGTTCGACGTAGATCAAAGAACCATAAACACACCTCCATCCAGGCACCGCCGAACCCCTCCTACCCGTGGCGGTGGTAGAAGGGCCGCCGGTGGTGGAAGATCAAGAATTGGTAGTGGTAGATCAAGAAATGGTGGTAGATCATCAAATTGTGATCCTTTATACGAGTATCTGTTTGAAAGATGTGGGCGATGGCCTTTCTCACGTTCTTCTCCCAACAACCCATTTCTATCCCGGCCTACACCTCGCCGACCACCGCGAGGTCCGCCGCCTTTACCTCCTCCGGTTATCCCTTCTCCGCCACCACCTGTGGTAACTCCACCTCCAACACCCTCACCTTCTCCACCACCACCTTCTCCTTCTCCACCTCCTCCACCCTTGGTTCCATCTCCACCTCCACCATCACCACCGCCTCCGCCTCCGCTTGTAGCTTCACCACCACCGCCGGACCCAACTCCGCCACCCGTAGTATTATCTCCACCACCAGATTACATCCTTCCTCCTATGGTACCTGAGCTACCACCTAATAACCCGTTTCAGGCACCACCGTTGGTTCCGATATCGTTTTCGCCACCAACTTTTGGGAATCCTCCGTCGCCTATTGTCCCGATATTATTTCCACCGCCGACTGACGGTAACAATCCGCCGGACTCCTCTCTGCTACCACCACTTGTGCCTATATTTTCTCCGCCGCAACTTGACCCGGGACAACTTCCACAATTACCACCGGTGGTCGACCCTGGACCGCAACTTCCACCGGTGGTCGACCCTGGACCGCAACTTCCACCGGTGGTCGACCCTGGACAACAACTTCCACCGATGGTYGACCCTGGACAGCAGTTTCCACCGCTRGTCGACCCTGGACAACAACTTCCACCGGTGATTGACCCTGGGCAGCAGTTTCCACCGGAGCTGCCGTTTACTTTCCCACCTCCAGTAGAATCCACAATGCCATTTCAGGGGACGGGGCAGTTTCCACCGGTGGTCGACCCTGGACAGCAACTTCCACCGGTGGTCGACCCTGGACAGCAACTTCCACCGGTGGTCGACCCTGGACAACAACTTCCACCGRTGGTYGACCCTGGACAGCAGTTTCCACCGCTGGTCGACCCTGGACAGCAGTTTCCACCGGTGATTGACCCTGGACAGCAGTTTCCACCGGAGCTGCCGTTTACGTTCACACCGCCAGTAGAATCCACAATGCCATTTCAGGGGACGGGGCAGTTTCCACCGGTGGTCGACCCCGGTCAACAGTTTCCGTTTACACCGCCAGTAGAATCCACATTGCCATTTCCCGGGGAGTCGCCAGAAATCATATTGCCACCGCCGGTGGATGTGAATCCAGTAACAGAAGGTCAGCCGTTCTTTTCAACGCCACAAGTACCGGAAGTTCCCATGGATATGGATGGCCACCACGAATGATGATAGATTCTCCTAATCAACGTCTTGTTCCTAACTTAATGCAGTAGTGACAACATATGAGTGTGTTGCTTTTAGGGTATGTAACATATTGTAAGTGTGTTTTTATTCGATTTACATGGTTTTATGTTTCAATAATTAATAATTACGAATGATAAATTTTGTCATGTGTTATAAGAAAATTCCCAGATGTAATTGCTTATATGAAATAACTTATGCTTTTTTTTCAAAAGTTTTTATCAACTTATTATAAGTTAGAATGAGTTAACTTTTTCAAAAACTTCTTATTACCGGTTCGACACCGGTATAAACTGTTTATCCAAACACTCAAAAATGTTTATTATCGGTGTCTAACCGGAATAAGTCAATAAGTTGTTTTTATAAGCAATTTCAAACATCCCCTAATAACATGCTCTTCTGGTTTAATGTTAAATGAAAACCAATATTTAATATGAGATAAGTAGGGTTAGTGACAATTCTATATCAAATCAGTCTCTCTCTCTCTCTCTCTCTCTCTCTCTCTCTATATATATATATATATATATATATAATCGATTAAATTGGTATCAATTATAGTCGGTTGATAGTATCATACCAAATATGTAAAATCAGTTGTATATGATATTGGAAGTTGCCTATCACGTAGTACAATGGTACCGACTGATTTAATTATTCATTAGTTTTTTGTATTATTATGTAATTTAATATAAAACATTGTAACTTTAATTATTTTGTTTGAACATTTGAACTTTCAAATATTTTACTCTTTGCAATTAAAAACCTTTAAACATCACATGTTTTATCTACAAACTCAAGATGTCACTCAAGATCTGAAGAGAATGGTAAGTTTTCATATATCATGTAACTTGAAGTTGATATAAAACAAGTTACAACATGCACCAATCGAAATTTTTTTATATCAATTATGTTTTTTGGGTAACCGTGAGTTCCCAGGTGAGCTTAAACATAGCAATGAATCCTTCAGACAACCATAAATGGCTTGGATTCATCGTAGACACGAGCGTTCAGTAGATCAAATCCAATAGATTTAGTTGGATTCAATACAACTCATCTACTGAATGTTGGATTTTGTCATACAGTCCAATTAATCCAATTAACATTGGACATCCGATCCAATCAAATCCAATGAATGGTTGGATTGGATCGGTTCCATCTATTGAATATTATTATTGGTTATACATTTGGATCAGATTGGTTCTATTCAATGTTTTGATCCAATTTTCAACCAATTAATCTACCATTTCAACTAATAATTCATATATTTCTTAATTTATTTAAAAAATATTACCAATAAATATCAATTGAAAAACAATATCCTAAGATATTAACAATCATATATAGTTGTTAATTTGATGGTAGTTGGATGATAATTGAATGACCATTGGATTGGATCGGTTCGATTTCTGGACTTCCATCCAATAACCGACCGATCTAATTTGGATGTTGAAATTTGGGATCCAATCTAATCCAATTAGAATTTGATATCTGATTATGCTTAGTCGGTTTAAATTGAATTGAATGACTTTCTGCACACTCCTAATCGTAGGTGAACCTCCATACTATAAGGACTTTGACAATGTTTGGGTTCAAAACCTAGAAAGATAAAATTTTCATTACAATGTCCGTCCACCTTAACCTGTGTATCTGACAGCTTAGGATCATTCGTGTTCACACAGTGGGCACGAAGTCCCCATAGTGGCGGTGCAAGTGTACGCCGACACTATGATCGCTTGCAAGTAATAAAATGGTAAAATACCAAGATCGTTTCCACATGGACTGGACTACCGAGATTCGGAAACTTTCATGAACTTCTTGAGCATGTTTCGGTTTGTGAATAAAAGTTGGATTTTGTTGGTAAAAAAGCTTTAAAAGATGAAATAAACGAAATAGACTTATAAAATAAAAGATGAGCATGGGTGTAAGCATTTCTTAAGATAAAAAACATAATATAATGGTCAGAAACTTATAAGATGTTTTTAAATATTCCAATTTCCAATCACTCGAAAGTGAATATTTATAAACAGATCCACAAAGTTCCTACTCTCAGCTCTCCGAAACTTGTTGATTTAGCTAAACAGTAGAAGAAATAAAATTCATACTCAAATCTTTTTGTAATATGAATACCCATCGTTTAATCCTTAGCTAATACAAAATTCGCATCTCTACGTAATTATCAAAGACTCTCTCGAGTTCTTTGTGCATCACTTAAGCCGTATTTCAAATCCGTCCATCTCTGGGTCTAAGATCTAATATTAACACTTCAAAGTGATCGACTTATACGCATGAAGTTTAACTCACGTCTTAAGTGACCAAGTTTACGAAGTGGTACAGAGTAAAAACACCCAAATATTGTATAAAAATCCTAAGTTTAAATCGCAACCATACCTATATAAGTAAATTAGCTTATAATAGACATGAAAAACATAATATAAGAGAATAAATATAAATTAGTTGCAACTTTCATTAATATAGAACATATGTCTGCTGCCCATAGTGGTGAGACTGTGGGTAGCAGATTACAATTAACAAGATAATTAAATGCTAAAACTTAAAAGAATAAGAGAAGAACTTCAGCTAGTAATACTTCTCGGGGATGATCTTCAAAGAGATCTAAGGCCTCTTTATATAGGAGATGAATGAATAAGAATGAAACTCTTTACCCAAAGGGAATTAAATACAAACAAACCTTCAGGCAAAGACCTTCTAACAACTACTTAAAAAATTCAAAATACAACTTTACAAACAACTCCAACTGTAGCGTATCTTTGAACAAGATCTTCAAGCAAACATCCTCCACAAAGTAGAAGACTAACAAAATTCGTGAACTTCTCACAGTGTGCAGTTACCAGAAAATGCAGTTTTTCGGAATAAAATTTATTCTTTTGTGTTTCATCATTCTTTTTAAACTTTTGGAATAAAATGGGGAAAATAAGAAAATTGGATATTTAATAAATGCAAAAATGAAAGAAATAATTAAGAAATAACTCTAAAAAATAAAAGTTATCAGTATCACAATCGAAGTGGTTAGTTAGCAATTAAGTTGACAACAAATACTGTTAATTATGCCTTTGAGATTCTCTTTAGAGAACATTGGTTCGAGTTCTGCAATGCCACTGAGTATTTTACTAGTTGTTCTCCAGAAGACCCTGTAATTAATTAAGGTACGTGCAAACGGGCCAAAACCGCAATTAACAAAAAAGGTTCAATCAATTATAATTAATTTTACAAATACAATGGTTTTTTAAATCATATTTGATATATTATTAATAGATTATAAAATCCAAATACACGAAACGTATGTGTTTGTGGATGGAAACTAAGGGCATGTTTACTTGTGGCTTAATGAGCTTTCTGTATAAACGGGCTTATTCGCACAGCCATTTGTGGCTGTTTACTTGGAGCTTATTCGCCCAGACAGAGGCTTAATCGGGCAGCCGGCTACCCACAGTTGTCCACATTAAGCCAGAAATTTGACGCTCCTACCCTTCTTCTTTATCGACGCTGCTCAAGACCCGTTCTCCTCAACAATCGACCAACAATCGTCCAACAATCGACCCTTTCTCTTCAAAAACCCTAATTGGCCGATCGATTGTTTGTGTCTTCTTTACCGACGCTCTTCGTCCTGTTTACTCGACGCATTCTTCTGCAAAAACCCTAATCGACCGATCGATTGTTTGTCTTCTTTATCGACGCTCTTTGTCCTGTTTACTCGACGCATTCTTCTGCAAAAATCCTAATCGGCTGATCGATCATAGAGACAAACGATTTACCAAACGATTTGCTATATTCGGTCACAAGCCAAATGTGAGGTGTGCGATGAAGATGATTTTGACCGGTCATGTGAGGTGTGCGAGTACTAGCAGTTGTCGTTTTGGAGTTGCATCTCTTTCTTGGAACCTGAAATAAGGCAATTGTAGTGTTTTGGGGAATTAGGATCTCTAATTTATCCTCAGGGGTAAATTGGTCATTTATGTTATTCAGACTGTTGATTCAGATAGAAAAGTAAACAGCAACCCAAATTTATCCAGACAGTCAAATTTATCCAGACAGACAAATTTATCCATACAAGACTTAATAGAAATTTTGGTAAACAACCCCTAATTCAAATTTTGAAACGGAGGAATCAAATACACGATAAGGTAAATCTGTAACCTAACGGAAAGATGCGATCATGGCGGGCTCCATTCCATGCCGTTGAATGGTTAGGTGCTAAACAATCTCCGAATTCTTCTCACAGAGATCACAATCACCACTCCCACTCTGTGTTTCTGTGTGTGCAAAGGATTACAGTTTTGATCCCTTAATCATACGTTCTGCAGTTTTCGATCGATTGCTTGATAGCTTTATTCCAATAGCTGGATCAGAAAATGTCGCTGAGCTGTGAGGAACTGCCGGAGGAAATCTGGGAGCTAATTTTGAATGGATTGGGCGATGATCATCACTCGGAGTTCGAATCGCTTTCACTCGTAAGCAAACGGTTGCTGTCGTTAACTGATCGTCTTCGCCTTCGTTTCACCGTCGTTGATCAGGCGTATCTCATTCACGGTACCATCTCTCGATTCCTTTACCGATTTAAACACCTCAAAACCCTAGATCTTAGTAGATTGAAACACGGTAATCTCGAAACTGCTCTTCATGAGATTGCTCGTTCTTCTGTGGCTCTGAATTTGGAAGCCCTTGATATTTCTAATCACGAATCAGTTCCGATTGAAAGTTTGAAGGAGTTGGGATTCAGTAATCGAAAACTTAAGGTGTTAAAGTGCGCAAATGTAACTAAATTGCGCGATGACGATTTGATAGCTATATCGAAATTCCATCCAGATCTGGAAGAGTTGGATGTCAGTTATCCTCGTCATAAATTTACAATTCCTGAGTTTCGTAGCTGTAATATTAGTGAACTGATGATCACTGATGCTGGGATTGAAGTTTTGTCATCTGGTCTTAAGAATCTGATCAAAATTAACATCTCCATGAACCATCTTCTTACAGACAATTCCGTGTTTTATCTATCTTCGAATTGCTTGCGTTTGCAAGAGATAGCATTGATAGACTGCACGTTGATCACTATGAAAGGTGTTAGCTTTATGTTGCACAATAGCCTTAATCTAAGAACGATCTCCATGTGTTTCATTTCCAATTTTCATGGAACTTCCTCGCTTTTTATGAACCCTGTTACTTCCGGCAGAAGTTTAAGTAGCCTCCATTTCAAAGACTCTGATATTACTGATGCATTCCTCAACTCAATTGCAAAAGCCCACATCCCATTGAAGAGTATCTCTCTTTCTTCTTGCAAGGGTTACACCATTGATGGAATTTCGAGCCTCCTATATGCCTATCAGTCCCTTGAGTTCTTAGACATCACTAGAAACAATTCCCTCTGTGACAAGTCCATTATGGCCTTATCTCAATATCTCCATGATCTTGTTTCGGTAAAGCTCAACTTTTGTCGTAAGCTAACAAGTACAACCATGTTCACTCTCATCAACAGCTGTTCCTTTCTTGAGCACATTGAGATGAAACATACAGATCTGGGTAAGGAAGAAGATGCAATTATGGATTTTGTGAAGCACCCAAACTCAAGTATCAAATCCTTGAATTTGGCAGGGAATGCATATCTGGGTGATGAATGCCTTGTGAAAATTACTTCACTTTGCCCCAACTTAAGTCTGCTTGATGTGAGCTCATGTTCCGGTATTACAGGAGCCCTAGGTGAGATCTTAAGGCGTTGTCCTGAGATTAGGCATTTGAGCATTCAAGATTGCGGAGGGGTTAAGAATATAGGATTAAATAAAGAACCTTTGAAGTTGAAGAAGCTGTATATGGCTAGATCAGGGGTGAACGATGAAGGGTTGTTGGAAATTGGGGTTAGATGTAATGAGCTTGTGAGGATAGATCTATCAGGTTGTCTTCATGTGACAACAAGTGCAGTGAAGTACTTAGTGAGAAAATGTGAGAAGTTGAAGGAAGTTGATTTGATGGGATGTGTTAATCTGCATGTATTTATCGTCGATTCGATGGTGTATGCAAGGCCATCATTGAGGAAACTAGTCCCACCCTCTTATGGTGTTACCAGCGAAAGCCAACGCCAGCTTCTGTTGCGCCATGGATGCCACGTTTGCGATAAGTGAGAATAAGCGAGGTAATGTACATTTCGATGTTTGGATACAAATTTTCTTCCTTCAATGTGAATTATCATCTCCTTCTGCTTCATTTTGACTTGTTTTGTAATTAGAATAACATCTGGATTGTGATACCACTATATGCAAATTATTGTTTCCTCTAAAATGTTATTAGACATCTCATTTGAGTAGCTGGACTTGAGCGTTGTTTTCTTTTTGTAGTTACTAGAGTATCTTCACAAGTTCTCTATTTCTCTAAAATAGCGAACTTAAATGTAAAATCTTAAAAGAAATATGTTCAACTTCAACATATTCTCGAGAGTTGTTCACGGACTAGACAACCCGCTAGATCTGTCCTATCCGGCCCATTAGAAAAGCAGGCTTGGGCTACCATTCTCGAAGAAATGGACGCCCCCATGCTGACTTGTCACAATGAATGGACGGGCATGGACTTTTCAGAAAAGAATTCAGCAGGCCAGCCCAGCCGGTTAATATTTTTGATACTTATTAATTCTCACTTAATTATAACTAATAATAATAACACTTTTGGAAATCAAAAAAGTAAATCATAAATCACTGCCAATTTCAAAAGAATCCGGGATAGACGCAATGTCCACAATACCTGGATTTAATCGGATACAATTTGAAGGATTTCGTAGATTCATTGATCAGGGTTTGACAGAAGAAGTTTCCAAAAATTGAAGATACAAATCAAGAAATTGACTTTGAATTATTTTTGGAAAGTTATCAATTGGTAGAACCCCTTATACCGGAAAGAGATGATGTGTATGAATCACTCACATGTTCTTTTGAATTATATGTATCCGCGAGATTTATTTGAAAAAAATGATAGACGTAGGTATATCCAAGAACAAACAATTTTGATAGGAAAGATCTCTCTAATGACTTCTCTGGGAGCTTTTATAATAATAAGAAATATATAGAATTGTGATCAATCAAACATAGCGAAGTCCCGGTATTTAATACCAGTCAGAATTGAACGATAACGGAATTATTTACGTCTAATTTTAAGTTGGAAAAAGTATTATGAATTTTAAATTATTTTAATAATCTGTTATTTTATACAAGTTTTGTCATCTTAAAAACTATAAAAAAAATTTAGGCTATTAGCCTGTTGGCAAGCCCAGCCTGTTTATAAGGCGGATAAGGGTAAGTTTTCAAGCCCCTAAAAAAGGCTTGAATTTGCTATATTAGGTCCGTCAGACGAGAAAAATAGGTTACATCTGCCTCAAACCTGCAAATAGTCCGCTCTAATATTTTTTGTTTTAAAGATTTTATCATTCTTTATATTATTAAAATATTTACAATTTTACCATCCCAACACATTTAAAAAAAAAAACTTATTGGAACAAAATAAAGAACAAAACCTCTAGTTTCTATCTTTTTGAAAAATATATTAGAGATGTTCTTAGGGTTCTAAAACTGACCGTTATATATATTTTTTTTGAACAGTTATTCTGATACGATAAACTCTTGTGATTACACTCCTCTATTACTACCATTGTTTGAAGACAATCCCAAATCACACTAGGTAAACGCTTACCCAATAACCATTAGGTAAGGGGCCCCTTATTCTGCTTCCACAAACAAATATCACACAACTTCCTTAAAATTCTTCTTAAGAAATAACCAGTTAGTTAGTCAGCCAGTCACTTACCTTTTTATGTACAACTGTATCAAGGTTGATTGAATGAGAACATTGCATCTTTCACCACTTGAAGATGACCTTCATGCTTTCAGTTCGAAAATTTAGTCATAATCAAAGCTCTGGGTTTAGATGATTAGTTAGGATGCGTTTGGTATCCAGACTGAATAAGATAGAATAAATCGGAGGACAAAACTATTCACAGTTGTTCAACGTTTGGTAAGATAAACCTGGACAGATAAAATGATCAATTTCCTCGAATAATAAAACTAAAATTCAACATCAACAAATGGTAAATAAAACCTTACATAAAGACTAAGTTAAGATTGGGTGCGACTGTAACTCAATAAATGTCGTTGTCTTCAAAGGCCGAAGACATCTCCAATTTGCTAATTACTTCTGGAACCTTTAACTAGCACTCATCACACCAATGTACCGCTAGTACCATTTCTTAAGGATCTGGTGTACATGACGACAAAGGAAAAAGTTAGGTTTAACGCCTAGTTAGTTCAATAAGTTTTCATCTTAAATATAAAAATGGTAAAACTGAAAAGATGTTATTTAAATCATAATTTCCAAAATAAAATATGTTTAGTATAAAAACACATCATTTCCAAAACTCACCGTTATCGTGATGAAAAATCATTTATCAAAGTGTTCCTTTATTCATGGAAGAGAAGTCCAATACTCACCCAAAAGTGAATGAGACTAAGGTGCCGTTTACCCAAATGCTTACTCGGTAAATGCTTACAGGTAGGAGTCAACATTATAATTATTTTTATCGAATAAGATTGTAGTACATCAAAACGGTATCCTATGCAACAATTTACCCGGTAAACATTTACCAGGTTAAGAGTCGTCACCCTTACTTACCGGGTAAGACTCTCCATCCTTATCGTCGTTCTTACCAGGTAAGATTCTTGGCCCTTGCCATGTTAATCCGGTGAGGAAAATTGCCCGGTAAGCACTTACTGGGTAAGCGTTTAGTAAACAGCCTCTAAATGCCCAAAATTTAAACAAGATTCTATATTCAAACCATAAATAATGGAAAATACTCCATACCCAATACGTCACCGAAAATATGAATAAGACTCAATACCTAAAACAACATCTTTCGGTGGCAGGGGAGACCCGATTTCCATGGTTAGTGACGGAAAACAAAAGTAGACCATCATTCCATTTTATAGAGCTCATCCTAAGGATCTATGGCCCTAATGGGATCAATTGTTCATGATTCATAATTCAAACCCCTCAATGGTCCCATGTACACTTATTTACTAGAAATTATATCATGTGACCAATGGCTAGTATCCGGCTCCTATAAGACCATACCAAGTTGCCCCCGATGACCCAACGCCTATTTCTAGCTACACTATGCAAATAACCATCCTATTAATTTGACTAAAAAATTACACCATGGGGGTTAATGGCAAATGTTCGACTCCAAGAGCCCGCATTATAAGGCCCCCGATGACTATTCCTGGCCACAATGCGGGAACGACTGCCTTATGATTCATTTACCAAATATAAGTTGTTTACATGATTTATAAAACCAAATATATTAAACATGTAAAACTCATCAAATAACCACACATTTGATAAATAGCAAGTAAAACATGTCAATATTTCAAAATGGACATTTTTGGCATGTACATAGTTTACATAAAAACAATTTGAATTCATCTTACTAGGTTAAGTTAAACCTAGATTCTAAACCCAACTGTCTAGCTTCCCAAAGATGAAGATTTGAAAATCTCAATCAAAACCTACCAAGGAAATTTCTCAAGACTATTAACTAAACCAAAGAAGTACCCGTTATTAACTCTAGCTTCAAAACCACAAAAAACACCCAAATATAGATCTGAAAACACCTAAAAATCTTACCTCATCGATCTTTGAACATCCATGTTGAATTTGACTTGGATCTCCTCCAAAATGATCCAAAGTGTTGATTACAACACTCAAAATCCGTCCAAAATGAGAGAGGATTGAAATGGGTGAAACATGGGGTTTAAAACCTGATATGGGCGTTCCTGCTACCTTAGTCGCATGGTAGGTCGTCCGCATCCAAAAGCTTGTTTTGTGGAAACAAAGAGTTGTGCAGCTTTTCCCGCGGCCTAGGTAGCGGGATTTTTTGTTTCGCTCCCCATGCAACTTTTCTTCACCGGAACTCGTCCATTCCATAAGCTCTTAAGACCATGCATTCCACTCAAAGAATGACTTCAAAATGATCATTACAATACATCGATCTTAAAGGTATTGCCCAAAATCACGGGTGTTACATAAATCAATCAAAATAGATAAACTGTATAAAAATAAATTTTGATATTAGTAAAATAAAAGTTTAAAAAGAATAAAATACAATAAATAAAATTTAAATAATGAATAAAATGTTTAGAGGGAGGCGTATATTTAAAAGAGGATTAAGTTTTATTTTGAGCTTATATTGATAAAATATATGTCCATTCCATCTTGTTCCATGGGGTGGAGGTGGAACACACTTGCTCCACTTTGTTTCTTTCTTTTTTTTGTCTATTCCACATAAAAATCTTGCCAAACGTGGAACAATGATGCCTTTTCCATTTTATCATGTCCAGTGTACCCAACGCACCCTTATTAGAGAGAAAATAGGTTGCCTTTAGATCAAATATTTCATTTCAAAATATATGGTAGTACATTTTATAGTTCTTTAACTAACTAACTAACTAACTAAGGGTGCATTTGATATGCAATCAGGACTTGAAGTAGGCGGTGGAAACAGTCCAAGAAGATTTTAAAGTTCTAATTTGACATAACTACTTTATTAATCTACCAATCTTGTCTTTTCCCCTCATTTTTATTCCCACCTATTTTGGTGGGACAAAACTCGAGTCATGTCATGTCACCATCTAATATCACGAGTCATGACAAATGTGGGACGACAAGTTTTATATTGTTTCGTCCCATCTTGTCCTGCTTACCAAACGCACCCTAACAAAACAGAACCGAATGCCAGTTTCTAGGAAATCATGTGTTTAAGGCAAAATTTGGATATGCCATTTTTTTTTCACAAACAAGATTTGTCATATCTAAAAGAGCAAAATATAACATGTATTTTATTTGGTATTATATAATGTAACAATAGTTTTTTCCTTCCAATTAGTTGTTCAAAAACTCTCAGTTTCAAACTCATTTAATCCTTTGACTGGTTTTCAAACTCTGTGTTATGGATGGATACTAAAGAGACATTTTCTTTACGAAATCATGCATTCACATCGTTAATAGTTACAGAAACCTCTCCTCTTCGCTTCCCAAGAGATTGTATTTAGGTAAAAGGGCGTTGTCGGCCACCGCTTGCTGACGACAAAATGCAGTCACTTGATGACCCCCACGAGAAACTTTTTGTCAATTAACCAGTTACGGGTGAAAATGGGTACGGAACATGAACAAGAACAAGTGAACTTTTATTACACTAGTTGAGTAAAAAACAAGATTACACAAAACAAGAACTAAAACAGATTTCGTTAAATCTTGATGCATATTACCGTATGTAAAACTACAAATTGTAAACGATACATACGAATGGAAGAATTCCAATATTTTGTCATTTTCGTTATCGTGCAACGATATCGATAGCGTTAATTCAGTATTTTCAGTTCCTAATATTTATCCACCTTATTTGTAATTCATAAAGATCTAGACGCTATGATTAAAGATTATGGGATATTATATGGTGTATAAACAAAATACGAGAGTTAATTCTATTTCCAGTTATTTTTAGCATGTATTTTATATGTTTTAGATATTGAGATATGGTATCTTTGTTTACATTTCTATTTTTAAAAAGGGAAATTATATGAAAAAACAACGAACTTTAACTTGATTTCTATTTTGGATAACATACTTTTAAAACTTTCATTTTAATACTTAAGATGTAAAATTTTAAATACTTAAGTACCTGAGTAACCGGTTAAAGTATTAACCGGTTACCATGTTGATGTGATGAGTGATGTGATATCAACTCAGTATTATTTGCTGAAACATTAACCAGATACCATATCACTTGCTATGTCAACATGATAACCGATTAATGCTTCAACCGGTTACTCAAGTATTCAAATGTTTAAAACTTTACATCTTAAATACCAAAATTGAAGTTTTAAAAGTACGTTACCTAAAATAAAAATCAAATTAATATACGTTACTTTTTCATTCAATTTTTTTTTTAAAACAAAAATATTTATTTTGGAAAACAATGATTCAAACTTTCCAAAAATTTAATTAAAAAAAAATTAATTCCCTAAAATAGAAAATATTTAGATGTATAATTTTTAAAATAAAAATAAAAATGAAAATATTTTATTTTAATGCAATGGGATCTATTTATGTTTGATTTACCAAATATAATTTTAGAAAAAAAATAAAAACAACTTGCATATAGAAGGAAGGGTTGAGATCAGATATAATCGTCTACCCTGAATCATCGGTACATACCATGTATTTACCCTAACCAGGGTGTGGGTCCCCAACAAAAAAATGCGACACGTCACCTCTTTATATTAAATATAGTTATTGATTTTTTTTTTCCAAAATATTTATATTTTTATTTGAATTTTCAGAAAATAAAAGATACCAAATATGGTAAATGACAATTTACACCCTTGGGTTTCTCTTTTCGGGGCGAAAAGAAGTCAATAGACAAATAGTAATTCCTTCCTCTAATTACAATTTTATTTTAAATTAATTATTTACATTCTATTTTAATTTCTCTCGGGTGTTTGGAATTGCTTATAAAAATAACTTATTAACTTATTTCGATTTGACATCGGTAATAAACACTTCTGAGTGTTTGGATAAACAGCTTATACCGGTGCCAAACCAGTAATAAGAAATTTTTGAAAAAGTTAAATCATTATAACTTATTATAAGTTGATAAAAACTTTTGTAGAAAAGTATAAGTTGTTTCAAATAAACAATCCCAAACACCCCCTTAAAAAATAATTTTTTTACATAAATAGTCAAAATCGATTTAACTTTTTAGTCATTTTTCTGATTCAAATTCACTTTTTAGTCAATTCTTATACAGAAAGCTTGCACGTATGCATAATAACTAGTTTCAACCAAAAAAAAAAAAAAGAATCCTATGCATAAGGTTTTTGCTTAAGAATTCCATCATATACTTAGATTATAGTGGAATCCCTATACAGAAACCTTATGTATATGTGTAATAATTTTTTTTTGGTCGAAAACCAATTTTTATGTATATGCGTAATCTTTCTGTGCAAGAATTGGTTAAAAAATGAATTTGATTATGCAAATGACTGAAAAGTGAAACCATATTTGCTGATCGACTATTTCTGTTAATTATAAGTGTCCACTCTTAAAAGTAAATTTTACTGTAAACATTTATTTTAAAACGGGGAGAAGATGCTAAAAGGAATAAAATATTTTAAAAATAAAAAGTAGAAAAAAAAAATAGAAGAAAGGAGTGGGAGTGGGTTCTAACTGAGAAAGGGTCCCACCAAACTCCAATCCATTCCTTCCTATAACTTCACCCATTACCCCATTGCAACAAAGCTTTTTCCTTTTCACAACCCCCCCATTCCATTCTCTCTGCCACCACCATTCTTCCTTCAAATCAATATGAGTGCCGATGACTGGCTCTCACTCGCTATGGCGGACACTCACTTGGTAGCCGAACTCCTCCTTAGACTCCGTCTACCTCTCCCACCGTCAAAGCGTTCACGCCCATCGCCTCCACAAAGCTGGACCATCCACCAACGCCGGTCAAGGACGCAGCCACTACTTCCTCCATCTAACAAATCGGAAGCACCTAGGGCTAGCCCTAGCACTCCCTTATCCTGGAGCGGTGCCACTTCCATCAGCGGCGGCGGCGGTGGTGGTGGTGGTATTCCAATTGTAGATGTTGTCGACTCCACCCAACCAAATCCCAACCGCTCCGTCATCTCAAGATCTAAGGTGCGTGTAAACTAAACTCCCTCTCTCGATATACATGGATACGCCGCCGGTTGCCGTCTGTTTATTCTTCCGGTGGCTGTATAATTTTTTTTGTCAGTCAGCTGATTTTAGTTGCGGATGGTGTGTCGTCATTTGCTTCTTGTGTTTTTCGATGCGGTTAATCGTCTTTGACCATAATACCCCTCATATAACCACAAAATTACTACCACGATTTGTCAGAGAAGAACCTGCTTTACGGTTTTTTCAGTTTCCCAATTGACCATTCTACCCTCGTCGACATGCAAGCTTTCCCGACCCAGATCTCGTCGGCCGTCTGGAGTTCCGATTCCCCACCACCGTTGACCGAATTGCCCTTCCGATTTCACTTCCACCTTCAGTAATTAAAAGGGTTTGCAAGTAATTTACACAACTTCTTTCAATTGATTTCATTACATGTTGTTTGATCATATATTTTGGAAGAATTGAAGATGACTTCCGTCAGAAGATTGACAGACCTCCTACGTTTTCTCGTCACCGTTTCTCCCCTTCCTCGCCATGGCCCCACTCCCTTTTCCATCTCAGTCAAATTGCCAAATACCCTTCTCATGGAGAAAAAGGGGTATTTATGTAATTTCAGTCAGATGATGACTCATACACATAACAATCTGTCGAAATCATATCCATCTACCTTTTGGCAAAGAAACACAGACGTAAATAAAGTAAGCAGTTGGGGGTATTTCGGTAATTTCAAGGGAAAAAGAAAAGGGTGTTTTCGTGGCAAGTAAGTGTCTGCGTTCGAGTTTGGTGCAGTGTTGGGTGGTGGTTGTGCACTTTGTGTGTAGGTAAATATCTGGTGTGGCGCGGTCGTTCTGAGACTCACCTGTACCCGTATCTGATTGTCCTTTTACTCATGCCTTTTTTGTGAAATTTTTAACTCTTGTTTGCCTTGCACTTATAACTTCAATGCCATCATTCAAGATTTCTGACAACAAAAAATACTAATTTTACTTTAATTTAATAAACAATTAATTTATTTCACATGTTATTTTCTTTACTTTAAAAACCGTAAGTGTTCGAGTCGACTCGTCACGTATCATTTTAAGAAACATGACCATGAAAGCATTGCTTTTAAAACACATTTCACAACTCAAGAAAGTGATGTTTGACAAAGTCAAAAGTGGAAATAGTATACAAATATTATTTAAGGGTTTAGAATGGATCTTAGTTAAGTCCTCTAGGTAACATTAAGCCCTTTTTTCCTTTATCAGGGTTGGTCCTATCTACTACACTTCTGGTCAATAAATGGAACTACTCCTTATTTTATATTCATTCTTCTACCCCATTCAGATATCCTTTTTGGGTGGACACAAGGATCAGTTGGGTCACAATTATTAATGGGTTTGCTTATTTCATTCAGTCAATGGGTCTTGGGGTTGAGGTGTTAGGAGAGGGAATGGGAATAGGAATGATTGTGGTATAATATGATGATTAATGACCCATTAACCTATATTGGGTAATGGTCCATGGGTATCTTGGCCAGTTTATGGGCATGACGATTTGTGAAGTCATTGTAGGTGAACCTCCATGGTTATAAGGGCTACGATAGCACCAAGATTCAAAACCCATGAGTCTTAACCAGTTTGCCACAACCAAGTGGTTATGGGAGACCGGATCTTGCAACACTCTTATTAGATCAAAAACCATTTTGTTCTTAAGTAGGTGGGAATCCTGAGGTTTTAGGGTGACTTTGGGTTTAAGGAATTCATATACGTCACGACATGTTTAGTGTGGCACAGGTCAAACAAACATCGGTTCACATGTTGTTTTGATGAAAAAGTGGCTTATATTATTTAAAAAGCATCATCCTTGTGCAAAGATGTTGGATTCTTGTAGCTTTAGTGCTTTAACTGAAGATCTAATCAGCTTATGTTTATTAAAATTCAGGTTAACTTTTTTTTTTTATGGTGTCATTGTTTATGCACTAAATGTGAATTTTCATTACATGGATTACTATAAATTTCAAGATTGAATAAAGCAGAACCATTTGATCTTAGTTTTTAAATCCAAGATTCTCATGTTGGTTTTTGCAGGTTACGCCACCTGGTGAAACCACCCCGACCAAGAGGCCAAGAAAGAAGAAGGTGAGTCTTAGTTTTATATGGTCATGAAGAGTTCCCGTTGGTGGTTAATTTCGACTTAATGAGCACAATCACATGAATCTAAGGGCTTGTTTGATTGGTTTTTATTAAGTCCTGTATGAATGAAGTTGTCCGTACGGATTAATCTGTCTATATAAATTGGAGATGTTTTTGTTTGAGAGGGTTTTTTCTTAATATATGGAAGGAACGTGTTCTTTAATTGGGAGGGACATGTTTGGAAAAAACTTGGCTTTCTTCATGAAGTTCTCCCCTAGAAGCTTACTGAATAAGCCTCTTTCTATATCATTAAGCCACTATAAAACAGTCATGTATAGCTGACTGAATAAGTTGTGAGTCTCATTAAGCTACTAACAAACATCCCTTAATTGGGTGATCAAAGCATCAGTACATCTTTGAGGCTTTATACTTCATAGTTGTGTACATAACATGGTTTATAAATTCAAGGAAATTCTTGATGAATTCCATAGAAAGTTTCGTTATTAAGTATATGTCCTCGAGAGGTCTGATTCATGCGGTTTCGTCAATGGTTTCAGACCCTGGCCGCACTTAAAGAGGAGGAGTCGTTATTGATGGAGGAACAAAAGCATCTGAAGATGGTACATTACATCAAAAGCATACTTTCTGTTGGTCAAATTAAGATCCTTTATTAGGGTTGGTTAATTACATGATGATTTTGATTACCTTGTTATGCAGAAACTTGAAACCCTAAAGGCTACGTGTGAAAAACAGATAAAAGAGAATGAGAGCCTGCAGAAGATGAAGGTAACAACACCATCTAAGTTTTCTTCTATTTTTCTCTCTACCTGCACAACGTGTTTGAAAAACTAGCTGATAAACTAGGTACAATCTGGAAATATAGCTGTCTGTTAAACTGGTCATGTTCGGTAAGACTAGCTTATAAGCGAGATGACAATATAAAATGACCTAACTAACATGATGAAAATTTATTTGGAAAAATTTAAAGAACATTATTAAAAAAAAGTGGAAACAAACCCTGAAGCTTCTTGAAACGCTAGTTGAAATAGTTTTTTTTAGGGTATCTTATAAGCTAGCTTATGGTTAACTAGACATGACAATATAAAATGACCACCTGGGTTGGGTTGTGGCGCACTGGTTAAGTAGAAATCTCATTTTCCCTATGTTTGAATCCAGGCCTTGCCAAAGCCCTTGTGGCCATGGAGGTTTCGTGGTCGCTAATGGGATTAGTTGGTAAGCACAAGCTGACCCGGCTTCTGAAAAGAAAAAAGATGACATTTTCAATAATCTCAAAAAATAAGTTGCCAAACATGGCCTTGGGCTCCCTAGTTCTAACACTTTTTTCATGATCCCTCTCTTGTACAAGAATCAAATCGGAAGTGTAAATATAGGAGCTCACGGCCACAAAAGTGCTATTTTAGTTGATATAGAATACACATACGCATGAACAAATCATGTTTGTTAGAGTCCCATATCAGCCAGACTTGGACCATTTCTCCTCAATATATATTGGAACCTTTCTTTTGTTCTAAAGAGCTCTTTTGGAGAATAATATAATGGGGTTTTACATATTCACACAATGATGATTGAGATAATGCTTCTAAATTAAACCAAGATCCTTGAACTCGGACTCTGTAACTTGAATCAGTGTGGTTTTCTTGAGCTGGATATCCAAGTAGAGCCACAATTGGAAAGACAAGAACGAAACAACCATTTTGAAGCGGTGAAAGAGCGGAAGGACAAACTCGTCCTCCCTGACCTTAACGATCCTGCTGGGGAGGATGTGACGATGAGCTATTGACGATAGAATAAAGGTGGTATATTAGAGAATAGAAAAATAAGTTCTAACGTCGAATTTGAGCTTAATTCGTTTTGAAATTTGGTATGGAAGTTGGAAAGCTGTTAATTTTAAGTATTAACTGATCGAATGAAGGGGTAAGTAGTAGTGATTAGAAAGGCAGGGTTTTAGATGCAGTTGGACATTGCAGGTTTGTACATTGTTTCCTTTCTTGGAATATATTCTTATAGATACTACATATACATGTAACTTTCTATACATGGAAATTAATCTTGTTTTCTTCACAAGTGAATATTTTTTTTATTAACCTGGATATCCAACCCGCTATGCAAGCCGACTAATCCCAGGGCGACCACCTGCTTTGCAGATAGCCCGGAGTCACTGCATTTGAACCTCCGTGGCCACAAGGGGATTTTTTGGATTTGAACTTGGCACCTCTTAATACTTTTGACCTTTGGAGCAAAATTCAAACCGATCAAGCAACATCCTTGTGGTTATTCACAAGTGAATATTTTATTTCCATGTTTTTGACAATCGTAGGTCCCTTAGACTTCGTATATATCTTGGTTAAGTTTTTTGCTCCAACTCCAAAATCTTTCTTCAAAGTTGGTTCCCCAAAATATTAATCAGTAAAAATTGGTTTATTTTAATACAATTTTGTAATTCCAAAGGTTCTTCTTAAATTTCTATTCTTAGGTTTGTAAAAGGTACGATCAATTATGCATGAATATTTCTCCGTTACTGAAAAACTATTAAAACATTCTTTCTATTTGTAATGTGTGAAATTTTATCCGAAGCTCGTTCTTTTGCCGGATATGTAACGAGAGGATGAAACCCGTATGTGCTTTTTGTACGATTCAAGCAAACAATCAAATAATAATTGAAAGCAAAGTATCTTGATGGTCCTCATACACAGACGACACAAAACGATTTTCTAGACTAACAATAAATTTCTTCCAAGAAGTCAACAACTTGTTAGCCTTCATCCACCGGTTCCAAGCAACGGTACTAAGATTTTTGGTTGAACCGGGACCTGCCTATCGAGTACACCCGGACCAACCTAGGATCGGGACCGAATAGGGTCCCGTCTAGGACCCATTTTTGGCCATGCCTAGCTATAAGGCTTAGTTTCAAGACCTGGTAACTTATTGGGCTGGTTAGTGATTTTGGGCGCAGTGGGTTTCATAATTCATTTATAGTCGAGAACCATCCAGATTCTTACGTGGCACCGTCCCGAGCGAGTTGACCCGTATAAACTCGAATAAATGATCAAATTCGTCTATCCATTTTCCCGTTAGAGAGCGGGGGAGGGTTTTGATGTGCAAGATTTGAAGTCCAACAAGACACATCATGATCTACATGTAACAACAGTTTAGACTTGGGAAGACAACTTATTTACAGATAAATTGTCGTTGTTTTTGGGAAAAAAACACTAAATTATATTAGAAAGTAGTTTAAAAACACAATTCTATATCGAGTCTTGACAGATTCAAAGTTGTTGGTTACAAACCCTTTTGTCCAAATATGCTTATGTCTAACAACAACGACATTCTAGTTTTCTTTGGAGGCTGTATTACATCTCCAACAACAAATAGAGATCGACTCAGAGTAATAAATGTTATAAGATATAAAAAAATACATGTCATAAACTATACTAAAATTCCTACAAATTAAAGTAACAAAACTGCTTTAGAATAACAAGGTAATATCTGAAATACCTTTAAATAGAACCGTTCTTCTATCATTTTTTAAAGTCGGAATTAATTGTCGTCAAATCGACGAAAACGCCCCTGTCAAATGAAGTAGAGGGAGTGTCTTTCTCCAGACGAGAATAACGAAAGTTTTTGGAGGAACTCGACATTTGACACGAAGGGATAAGAGCGGATTGTTGGGAATGACTCGGTGAAAGGAATCTTTGTTTGAGAGAAGAAGGCTATCTGGCAAAAAAAAGATTCTAATGGCACAAAGTCATTCTTCTCTCGTTTTTCCGATCCGTGCTGGTTGCTCTTAGGTTTTTTGAGCTTGAAAGCCTAAAACTTGTAAAATGGACTAAATGTTAAAACATGAGATCAAAAGATATATAATTATGACTCAAAATTCTAAAGATTACGTTCCATATCTCATATTAGAACTACCTTAATTACCACCATATTTTGCAATTTTTTAACTTTTTGGCTAATGGGAACGTGCCTTTGATATATATATATATATATATATATATATATATATATATATATATATATATAGAGGTCGGTTATTATACAACCCTTGACATTTGTACAACCAATATAACCCAATCTCAATCGTCCATTTCATTTGATGAATATGTAATTTCATAAAAATTTTGATTGTTTCATAATATAAAGTATTAATCATAATTAATGAACTCTATTTATATTCCATAAATATTCAAATCATAATAAATGAACTCCCATCATTTCTATAAATATCTCAATTAATTGAGTTGCAAGGGTTGTACAAATACACAAGGTTGTAAAAGAAATATACCCTATATATATATATATATATATATATACACACACACATATAGGGAGGTTTAGAGGAAACCCCTTAAAAATGAAAAACTGAGAAATACTTTAATAACCGTTTATTTGTACGGTAT